CAGTTGCTGCGTGCACTTGCAATAGTTCAGAATAATGTTGAGTTATAGTATTTGACTGATTGTCATTTCTCTGAGGTTTTCAGGGTCTCAAACCTGAACCTGTCTGTTCAGCTAAAGCAGAGATAAAGTCTATTTGATGTGATATTGCGGGGTTTATGTGGAGTTCTGCTCTGAAGCTCTTTGTCCAGTGTTGAAGGTGTGGTCCGATGTCAATGTGAGGGAAACCCTTGTGTGTGTGACCCATTTCTGACTGTCAGCCTTTATTTATTAATGAGAAGTAGTGCACACACATTACTGACACACACACACACACACACACACACACACACACACACGAACCTGTCTGTGGGAATACTATATTAATATTATAAAATAAAAAATGATTTATTTTTGTTTTAGTATAATCTTTAGATATTATTATTAGTAGTAGTGGTAGTATTAGTATTATACTGTATATACTGAGCATATATAATATTACACTACTTTAAATATACTTTATAATTTTATAAAATAAAAAAATATATTTTTTTGTAATAATCTTGGGAATATATACAGAATATATTATTATTATTATGTACAGAATATATCAAATAATATTAACCTAGTTTAATATTATACAATAAAAATGTTTATTTGTTGTTGTTTGTAGTGTGATATTTGGATCATAATTTATATACAGAATATATTATTATTATAATTATGTATATACAGAATATATATTGTATTAAATTAGTTTCATTTTATAAAAAAAAAGTTTGTGGTTATATAATCTTTGGATGGGAATGTGTGTATTTATATATTCTGTATGTACATTACCATCTAAAGATTATATATATGTTTATATGCCACCCAAAATATGATTGAAAAATTATATTTAAAATTAAAAATGTATTTTATATTTAAAAAATATATATTTTATTTCAATATTCTTTTTCAATTTTAAGGATTATTTTCTTTGCAAACGTCTTCATTGCAAAAGATGAAATGTGTGTGGTTGAGCGTGTATCTTAAAAGAAAGTGTCCAGATTTCCAGCCAGATTTCAAACAGATCCGTCACACAAACACCACACCACAGCTGTATTTATTTAGTGTTGTCTATGTAGAATTTGTAAAATGCACACTTGCATACGTACACACACACACACACACACACACACACACACACACGCGTCTCATCAGGGGTTATTAGACAGTCAGCCACTGTTAATCTTCCTCAGGCTTTAATCTGACTGGTTGACCTCTGACGAAACTTCAGAATCACCCTTGGTGGAGTGGAAAAATATACAAACAAACAAAAAATCTACCTGTAAGAGAGAAATAGTTAATTTAAAGGAAAAAGTGGCGTTTTGCACTTACACCGATAATAAATGATGACTGTTTTCCATCTGCAGTGCTGTCGGAATTAACTAAAGCTGCTTATCATCTTCACCACGCTCTCTTCTCACGTCTGAATCAAACAAACAAGGTCAAACACGCGAACAAATGAAATAAACATTGTCTCGTCGCTTAGCCGCATTAGCTTAGCAGTTAGCTATAATTAGCCTAGCACCGAAGACGTGAATGTGTGATCACATTGAGTCGCCTGATGTCGTGTCTTTCTGTCGAAGTGTTTGTGTTGGTTGTGTTTGGTTTGGCTAGCAAGATGTTTAAGTGGTTAATCTCAAAATCACCTTTTGTTTTTGGTCTGTACGACATCTCCATATCTTTGTTTTACAATCTTTTTCATAGTCTTTCTACAATTCTTACAATCGGATTTGTCAATTCTCCACTTATAATTTATTGATAGTTAGAGGTCACATTTTACCCAAAATGTAAAACAAAAAAAAAGAAATGATATTTCACTTTTTTTAGGAACATTAAAATAATTATAGCAATAATATTTAAATGTATTTTTATAATTATTTTATAATATTATACATATAATAAAATCTAATCATTATATATTATATAATTAAGTTAATTTATTTTATATATCTTTCTTTAGTTTCCATTCGCTAACTTTCAGAATAATTGTATTCATGAGATGATAAGACATGAATATCACCACATGACAGCACATCATTTACTCTTCAGTTAAAGAAAGAAAAAAGACTTTGCACATCACATGGCAATTATGACTCCCGAACTCATAACTTCCAAGCAGTTTATTATTATTTATATACTATTATAGTATTTGTTAGTAATGATTTATTAGTATTTATTAATATTTTGAATTAGCTTTTATTTTTATATTTTAAATGTAAATTCTATAATTTTGTCATCTATCTTGTTATTTTTATTATTATTTTTTTATTTCTATATAGTTTTAATTGATTTTTTTCAGTTTTAGTTTTAGTAATTTTATTACATCAAATTTAAAGGGGTCCTATTATGCTCTTTTACAATGTCTTGAATTTGTTTTGGGGGTGTACTAGAACATGCTCTCATGCTTGGTGGTTCAACAAACGCATTATTTTTTTACATAATTTACATTATTACAATACCTTTCTCCCCATCCTGGCACAAACGGCTCGATTAGTTCCGGGTTTGATGAAGGCCCGCCTTCCGAAAAACGAAATGTAATG